TAGGTGGCTAGGGTTCCAAGATTTCTAAAGACTCATTCGTGTTGCTGACAGTGGACAGTACATCAGTCAGCCCTATGTATTTTTTCACCTGAAGTCACATATTCAGTTTATGTTCTGACTATTCATTCTGCTTTTAGGTCATTACTCACTATAAATAAGGTAAAACTTAAAATGAAATTGTTACTTTTCACCTAGTATGTTTGTATGTTCCTTAGATTATTAATCTCCACAAAGAAGAATGCAAATATCACTATAAATTCATAAAGAAGTGTAAAATCAAATAATGTCATAATGCAGGGCTAAAATGATTTTTCTTGGACAAATACAAAGCTGTGAAGAAAGCTACACTTTCTCACTTATTGAACATCTCTTTAGATAGCTGCTTGGATACTGCTTAGTCTTTTGGTCTGGGTCAATTTAATAGTGATGGATTCTCCATTTTTATTAAGCTATATTGACACACTTTGAAGTTTATCACTTACAACTAAATATTACATTTTAAACTAATGTGAAAGCCCCCAGAATTGCAATTGTTTTTCAAATCAAACAAATTAGTTTTCACAGTGCATCATATAATAACAGCTCTTCAATTGTGTTCCCAACCCACTGTTGCTTGCCTATACCTCTTATGGGACAAGTTGCCTTGTCTCAAGGATTTAGACCTTGTGGAACAGAGAATTAAAATGAGAAGTTATAATACCCCTTGTATTTTTCTTAAATGTCGCCAGTTATCTGGACTCAATCATAGGCTGGTCTAGAAATCAATCCAATATTGAAAATAACAGTCTTCATTTGGAAGTTCTGGTTCTGGACATTTTCAGAGACACATTTGGAAATTGGCTGCAGTTCTCTTTGATGTTTGTGTTAGCAAGAAATAAAGTTGAGGCAGGATCTGGATGTCGAACTGGTGTTAGCACATGTGTTAAGGCTCTTTAAAATGTCAAGTTAAAACTACTTTTGTTTCATCTACAGTATTTAATGTAAGTTGCATTGATGGTACACCTTCTTATTGTATTAGTTTTTTGAAATCTGGCATGTCTCCTCTAGGGGTCTTTCGACCAAATTTTGTTTTAGTGCTCTGAGTATCAGAGAATATCTTTGGTATTCTAAAAAATAGCTTGCAAATACTGGAAGAAATGACTCAGGCAGAAGCAAGAGGGTAGTGAGCTTGATTATTGCTGGTATAACAGCTTTAACTACATTAATTGCTAGCACCACTGCTTCTTCAATTGCTGTGGAACAAGAAGGTAAGACAGCTATTTTGCAAATCATTTAGCAAAAATGTTACTAATGTGTTGAATATACAAGAGGACTTAGGTATTTGGAAGAACAGATAGATGCTCTTTATCCAATTCAAATTATTGAAAGGCAGTTCAGAATTTAAGTGTAAGGAGCCATCTTGAGTGTCATGCCAAATACCATTGGATTCATGTTAGTTCTAAAATTTATAATGGTAATCATTATAATTAGGAAGAAGTTTAAAGACACTTTCAGTGTATTTGACATAATTCTAACACCTCTATGGATGTTTTAATGGTACATACGGAGCTTATGAATTTCAAGAATGCTGCTCTGCTGAGTGTTGATGTGGAAGATAGTGCAGATAAAATTATCAGTGGCCTGAGGTAAGTATTTCTGTTTTGGTCAAGCTTCAAGAATCGCATACATAGCTTGAACATGCTAGACCTTTTTGTCCTGGGAATAATTTTATTCCTGCCCACCATGTAAAAGCTTTTCTTTAACAACATCAACATCTTGGGAGCCAAAGTACATGGCTTGAAACTGAAAATGGACCCCCGACAGAGTAATTAAATTAACAGGCTGGCAAACCAAGGACAGGTAAGAATCTGCACAAAGACTTACCAACTTAAGACATAAGTACATTGCTTTGGATAATGTATATTCCATGATGGATAAGGAAGGTATTCTTGTCAGAATGACATAAGACAGGCTCAGACTTGTTAATGAACTAAAAATGGGAGAGAAGTAGAGAGCCTTTGGGGTTGCTTGACAAGAATCTGATATGGACCAAGAACAAGGAAATGGGCTGCTTGGCAGGAATATGACATTGGCCAAGGACAAGGAAGTAGCATTCAGGCAGGACTCTGACATTAGACTAGAACAAAGAAGTAATTTCAGACAAGAATCTAAATTTTAGGCTAGAACAAGGAAGTAGGCTTCAGACATGAAAATGACTTTGGCTAGGACAGAGAAGTAGGCTCAGATACTTTGGATATCCTGATAAACCCTTAGAAACAGTGAACATGGGAGTGTTCACGTAATTGGCTTTAATGCCTTGCTTGTTCTTTGACTATTTGCATTTATTGTCTTGCTAGACCTTCAACCTATAACTGACTTTAATGCATGCATGTAATTTAAAATGGTATAAAACTGAAAAGGAAAGGAGGAGGGGCAATGGGATAGAGATTTCTAGGGAGGTGTAATAGGGAAAGGGAATGACATCTGTATCGTAAATAAATAAAATATCCAACGGGAAAAAAAAAACAATGAACATGCGCTGTAAATTTCAACAAGTAAATTTCAACTTAAATAAATGACAAATATACGAAGAGAAATAAAAAGATGTTTCATTTTCTATACGTGATAAAGATTTACAAGGTAATTTTGGAACTAGAGAGATTAAAGAACATACCTTAAGAAAAGAACATGTTAGAAAACTCTCTTAATTTATATTAACGTTCTTTTATGTTACTTATATTATATATTTTGTTATACTAAGTTGTTTATTAACTAGTAGTAAAAAAATTATATACATACATGGTTTGTGCATTTGCAATTTTGAAATTCAAATAAGGCTAGTGTTTTTCAATTGGTAAACTAAGTCTTGAATTAAGTATTATCCAGGAGCTTTTATTTGGGAATTATTCATTTATGTTTGTATATATATGAATGTTTTGGCTGCATGTACATCAGTATAACACAGGTATCACATATCAGAGAGGGCAATGTATATTCTGGAACTAGAGTTAGACATTGCCATGAGCCACCAAGTCATGGCTAAGAAGCAAATAGTGGTGCTTTGCAAGTGCTAAAAGTGCTCTTAACAACCAATATGCCTCTCAAGCCCATATCCTCAAGCTCTCAAACAACAGACCATCACTGTGCAGATACTGTAAAGGTTTGTTGATGAGAGAATCCAGTGTCTGGCTCTGAACACTGAGATGAATCCATTCTTTTATTTGATTAAACATTTTAGGAGCAAAAATCATGTAAATATAACATGTGCAATTTATCATGTCATATTCATAGTGATGTTATAGGGTGGTCTCTTCTACTAACTTCTGTTTTTTTTTATTTTAACATACATGCATGTATGTGTCTATATATGCAGAATATGTAAGTGAGCTTGATAATATTATTGACCATAAGTTTATCACGAGAATATGAGTTAGTATAGTTGTTTTGCATTTCTTTATCACAAAGCTGATTTTGAAGTAGTGAATTAAATCAACTCAATAATAAATTGTTCCTGGTAACCAGGCAAGCATGTAACTTATCTAAGCAACAAAAGCAAGACAGTTTAGTAAAACTGTAAAGAATATCTGGGTGCTGATGACGTATGATAACATTTGGGACCTTGTTTTCAACTGCATGGGAAGGAATCTCTTTTAAAACAGAAATTCTCAAACAGCATCACTATCTGGTTATCTTCAACATTTCATCTTTGTCATAATGTGTGGAAAATACTGTATGCCTTAGTGTCACCAGTTCCCTTTTATTGTAGGCTTCTAGCTGGACATCTTCAGATGTGATTATGTAGCCTATAGAAACTACAGAAATCAAAGAAACAAAATGGGATCATTGCCAGGATAGGTGTTGGGGAGGGGAGCAATAGAGTGCTGAATAGCATGGTATTCTAGTCAGAGAAATTGAAGAGACAGTGCTTACTGAGTGAAGGAAGGAGATAAATACAGAAGTTAGGAGGTAGGAAAAGGGGAGCAACAGGAAAAAATTATCAGAGATGGAAATAGGAAAATAGTTGAGTTCTTAGGTAAGGGGGATGGACATAAATTCAGAGAATTATATAGTTAGGTAAAATAAAAAACATAGATATCTGAAAAAGTCCTAAGAAATCATACTGTTAGTGATGATTTAGTTCCCTCCTAAGTAAAAAGGAGAGAAAAATAGTGCTTCTCCTGATATCTGGCAGTTAATTCTTTAATATTGAAACTGGGTTCCCAAAGTGCTTAAATGGGATGAAAACTGAACTAGAAGCCATTTATAGCCACTTTTACCCATAATAGTTATACAATTAACAGAGTATAGAATGTACACCAATGGTCTCCAACTATCTGTGTCTTCAGTTCTAGATTCTGGGGATGTACAGTTTCATGGAAAAAGAAACATTAAAAAAATGAATGGAGATAGACCTCTTGCTGGGTAAAATAAGGAGATTATTGTGAGTTACAATGGTGACTTCATTAGAATTATGAGTCAAAACAAGTATAGTTGCAAAATATAACATAGTCAATATATGGAGTATGAGACAGAATCACCTGATTTTAAAATATCTTTCGTGATTTCTTTTTCCAGTTCAACATATGTTTTGTTCAGCTGTACAATTCTGATTAATATTCTGTGCTCATCAGTCCTGTTTTAGGTGTTAAAAATAGGGACAATTGAAATAAAATAAAAATAGGGAAATTATATCAATAGTATTGTATTTCTATGTCATAAGACTCAGTTAATTCAGGCAAAATTGTATTATGTACAGGTATGACTGTGAGTGCATTTATTACCTGTAGTATTTTATATATAAAGGAGATACATGGAGAGTATCTAGACATGTAGGCCATGATGTACACACTGGAACACCAAAAGTTAAAGAGGCAGGGTAATCAAGAGTTAGTATAGAAAATAGAGTGATGATATAGACATACTGTCCAGTGAATCACAAGTTTAATGTGTTCTCTATTTCTTTTTCAGGAATAAGAAATATGCATTCCAGTATGTTCTTAAGATGAATACACTTTCTACTTATGTTCGCATTAGAGAATGTCCTTTATTTTCAAGCTGGGCTTGGAGTCCTAGTCAATATGTTTCTTCTAGTTTTTTATATTGTGATAATCCTAGGTCACAAACTTAAGCTCATTGACCTGATCTATTGTCAACTGACCTTAGTTCACATAATTATGATCCTCACTGGAGGAAATATCATGCTTACAGACATATTTGAGTCTCTGAATGTTGAGAATGACATCAAATGTAAGGCAACTTTATACACAAACAGGGTGATGAGAGGCCTCTCTATCAGCATCACCTGCCTCTTGAGTGTGTTCCAGGCTGTCACAATCAGTCCCAGTACCTCTTGGCTGGCAAAATTTAAACATAAACTAAGAAAACACATGATTAATGCTTCTTTCTTTTATATTTGGTCTTTCAATTTATCTCTTAGTAGTAACCTGATCTTCTATGTTGGTGGTTTTACCAATGTGAATGAGACCAAGCAGATGAAGATCACTAAATCCTGCTCACTCTCATCAATGAACTACATCATCAGGGGAATGATTGTAACAGTGACAACCTCCAGGGATGTGTTTCTTGTAGGAGTCATGCTGATCACAAGTGCATACATGGTGATTATCTTGTTCAGACATCAGAGGCAATGCAAGCATCTTCACAGCATCAGACATCTGAGTGCAACCCCTGAGAAAAAGGCCACACAAACTATCTTGCTGCTGGTGATTTTCTTTGTGGTTTTATACTTGGTGGACTTCATCATCTCATCAATCTCCATTCTGTTATGGATATACAACCCAGCAATCCTGACTGTTCAGAAGTTTTTGATGAATGTCTATCCTATAATTACTCCTTTGGTACAAATCACTTCAGATAAGAGAATATTCAATGTGTTGAAAAACTTGCAGTCAAAATTCCACTAGATTATTTTTTTGTTTTTGTTTTTAACATATTCACTTTACATCCAATTCATTTCTTCTCTTCAAGTTACCTCCTGCCACAATACTTTCTCCACACCTACTTCCCCTTCTTCTCTGAAAGGTACTCTCCCCCCTGCCCCAGGCATCACTCTAATCTTGCTCTTCAAATCTCTGTGAGATTCAGGGATTCTTTTCCCACTAAGGCCAGAGAGACAGCCTAGATGGAAGAGCATGTCACATACAGGAATAGCTTTTGAGATAGCAGCAACTCCTATTCTTTGGGACCCAAACGAAGACCAAGCTGCATATCTACTGCATATGTGTGGGAAGGACTATGTCCAGACTGTGTATATTTTTTTTGGCAGGCAGTTCAATCTCTGAGAGACCCAACAGTTCAAGTTACTTGACTCTATTGGTCTTCCGGTGGAGTTTCTATTCCCTTTGGGGAAACAATCCTTTCTCCTATTCTTCTACATGTTCCCATGCTCTATTCACAGTTTGGATGTGGGTTTCAGCATCTATCTGAGTCAGCTGCTAGGTGGAGGCTCTCAGAGGAAACTCATGCCAGACTTCAGTTCCAAGCAAAACAGACTACCATTAATAAACTGAGGTTTGATGCTTTCCCACGGGATGGGTATCAAGATGGGCTGACTATTGGCTCTCTATTCCCTCAGTGTTGGCTTCATTCCCCATCCCTGTATTTTTGTAGATTGGATAATTTGGAGGCCTACATTTTGGGTGTGGATTGATGTCTCTATAGCTCCATTAAGGTTTCTGCCTGGGCAGGGATGTCAGCCTCTTAGGGGTCCATACCCTCAATGCTGGAAGTCACTGTTAAGTGTCGGTGGCCTGTACTCGCCAGCGAGATAACACAGACACCAAAGTTCTTCAGCAGATCTTTATTACGATGTTATAGAGAAAAGACCCGCTGGGAAAAGGCCGGCTGGTGGAAACCGGCTGGGAGAAAAGGCCCCGAGCCCCGAGAAGTCCCTGGTTAAATACCCCCTGGAGTGATGTGTACATATCTGGTTGGTTAATTGCCCATAAAAATCCTATATGCCTCGGGAAGGGCTTGTGACTTCGCGTGCTTTCCCCTTACACAAAGACAGTAAATTACAGAACTTGTGAGAGCATCGGATTGCCAGAGATGTCTCTGCTTTCCACGGCTCTCTACATCTCCCCCTTTTTGTTTTAAATGAGAATCACAGGCACTGGCCATTTCCCGTGTCTTAGGCTAGTTGATGTTCTCCCATAGCCAGCATCAAAGAATGGTGAGCTCCCTGTCTTAGGCTACGAGGGTTGTGCACCCACACCTGGCATTCATTGAATGTGCACCCCAGGTTGTGGCCACTCGTAATGCCCGACATGGGGTAAACTCACACCACATGGTGTACCTCTGGCATATGGCATCAACCTATTCCCGTCGTTGGGACCAATGGCAGCTGGCCTGGAGACAAAAGATAGAGCTGTCCTTGGTCTGTCTGGCACGGTACCAATCAAAACTCAAACTCAAGCCCAATCAAGCAAATTCCATTATGGGGGAATAAGCGATCAAGGACTAATAGTTTGATACAGCCTCTCCCACCTTACCAGGTACAATGGAAGCGAGTCCTCTGGGTGCAAAGGCTAGGGGAAACCGAGAGAGATGCAAACACCCATCCCTGTGCAATGGAGTCACCTCCTAGGGGTGCAAGGGCTGTTTTCCTCAATATTCAGGTACCAGAGCTACACAGACAAGGACCAGTCAGACTAAAACTCCTCACTGACCCAGTGTAATGGGCTGAGCCCTTGGGGTGCAGTAGCTGAGGATCTGTTTGCTGGCTATTTCTTTAGCATAGACAGCCAGATTTCGGGAGATGAACCTTGTTCTAACGTTGCAAGTGCTTGGGTAATCACGACTTTGTCATGTTTCTGCTGAACTCTGAGCTTGTAAACCAACCAGAGTATGAACACTAATCCACAACACAGGGTTGTACCAAACAGGCCTACTCCCACCCACTCTTCAAAGAAAGAGAAGGCCGAAGAGATCCAGGTGGAGAGTCCTTCAGTCAGTGAAATGTCCACACGCGTTGAGTTGATGGCTGCCACCGCTGCTCGCAACTTTTCGAGAAGTTCATCAAATCCTTCTGACCATTCTCCTGTTAGGTAACGAGACAATTGTCTGGACAAATTAGCTGCTCGAGTAAAGTTTTCATATTGAACACTAGTAATACAGATTGCTCCCAGACTTCTTTCACATCCCAATTGTGCCAATTGAAAGAGGATATCTATCTTTTCTTCTACCAAGTCTAGGCGCCGATTAACAATCATCAATCCGCCTTTCAATTCAGCATTAGCAGAAGTATGGAAGTTGGCTGCCTCTGTCACTGTAGCGGACAGCTGATTTAAGGCTGCTGCTGTTTGGACTTTGGTTGTCATAGCAATCCCAGCAGCTGTAGCTGCAATGGCAGTGACTGATATCGCTGTTATTATGGCTGCAGTTATGCCAAAGTCTCCTTTTTGTCTGAATAATGATAGAGTAGAGGGTGTTTCAACAGGAACAGGAACCCATCGTGGCACTCTGGCAACCATGGCACGCTTAGCTTGTCCAACAGCCCAACACTGAGACATCATGCATGAATCATTAGTGCATTTTTCAAATGAGGAATTGGAAAGAATAAACAAGAAAGGTGGAAAAACACACACTGGTGTAGGTGAAAATACTGTTTGATTTACAATAATCTTGTTAACTCCAGTAATTAACTGAATAGGATTTGTCAACTGAGGGATCGGATCTGCACTCTGTTTCACCATAGTTCCATTAATAACTCCTGTAAAGGATGTTCTTCCTGTCGCTCTGCCCTGGAGAAAGGCTAGCGGGTTGAGGTCGGTACAACTGCCATTAACTCCACAGAGTAGCCATTTGTGAAAAGGATTCATACTAACGCTCTGTAAAAAAGGACCCTTTCTCATTACCGCGTCAGCTCCAGGATCTCCCAACATATTGGGTGAAAGGAAAAAGTTTCATTGGTATCTGCCCATCGTGTTACTCTGGATTGACAATCAGACCAAGGCAGAACAGCTCCCTCATCTTCTAGACTACAAAAAGGAGAGACCTTAGGTTGACGAGGATGTTCTCCATCAATAAGTTTGGGTGATAAAAATGTTCCATCTATCCAAATGGCTGGTTGTAAAAAGGACTGTGAGAACTCTTTGACATAACTATTGTCCTTTTCATTATCATTCCTTTTAGTTGTTAGTTTAACCCAGCTTCTCTTTTCATAAAACCACCCCAAGATTCTCTTCGAGAGAGTTATACAGTTTCCTGTCTCAGTAATCTGAAAACAGAGAGAACCCCGTTCAGGCAAGGAACGATTTTCTCCCAGGGGGGCCTGCGTTTTATCATAGGGAAGATAAGGTAGCCCCATGGTTCTATTAGTTGTAAGAAATCTTGGAAACACCATGGCATCATGTCTAACAGGTATAGGTTTAGGAAAAGCAGATAATATAGCCCATTGTTGTTCTCCCCATATACTAGGAACCCAATTTTGGAGGATCCAAATTAGGACTGGAAACATCTGCAGATGAATTCTTCGCAGTGTCATCTTCAGTCATCACGAGCCTTCGCGTCAGTCGCTCTGGTAGCCAGAATGGATTGTCTTCTTCCTGTGGAAAAACACAGACAGCTCCCCTGGATCTTATTAATATAGGATCCGGGCCATTCCATTGTCCGGTCAAGACGTCCTTCCACTTGACCATCTCCTTTGGCCTATCAGGCTCTAAGCAGTGACGGTCAGCAGCCGAATGGCCCTGACTGTCCAAATTCAAAAAATTGAGGGTAAAGAGTGCTATAGAAACGGTGACTCGTGGCACTGAGGGTAGAGCCTCCTCGACTCCCCCTTTTTGTTTTAAAAAATAAGATTTAAGAGTATGATGATCTCGTTCTATAATGTCTTGTCCTTGAGGATTGTATGGTAGACCTGTCAGGTGAGTCACCTCTATTTGGAGACAAAATTATCCAAACTTTTGAGACGTATAAGTTGAGAATTTTAGGCTTTCCCCAGGCATTCTAGGCCTCAAGGCAATGTTGCATAACATGTGCTGCCTTTTTTCCCTATAAAGGGGAGGCAAATATAATTCTGGAACAAGTGTCAATAGAATCATGTAAATATTGAAGTCTCCCAAAGGATGGGACATGAGTAACATCTATTTGTCATGATTAATCATGTGTAAGTCTTCAAGGCTTAACACCATTATGAAAATTGAGGACACTGAGAAGAAGTTTTTGTTATTTTACTTGTACACTTTCTAGAAATATTAAATTATAGTCTCAAGCTATTATTATTTTGATGATATAAAGAATAAGATTGTATGGCCAATTGTTTTTATATGGTCTATAATTTGAGTGGTATACAAATCTGTTCTGGCATTGTCTTGGACTCTAGGCAATCTAATGAACCCTTAAATGTCTTATAAAGAAACAGTACATGTTTCTTAAATTAAGCTGTATTTTTATAATTAACTGTAAAATTTGAGAATTAGTAATATCTAAAAGGGCAACAATTTTAAGCAGTTACAAACCATGAGCCATAGCCATATCTGGCTATGAGTGTACCAATTGAAAGCTTGAATTTTCAGCATTTCAAACAGTTTCTACAGCACATAATTTAATTATTTGTGATGAAGCAGGGGAAAATTCAAGAAAATGAACATGTGATATAATTACATATACTGTCTAATAAATTGATGAGGCATCTGTAAATATAGTAAATATTTTTTTCTATGCGCTGCATGTAAATTTATAGGAAAAACAAAAGCATGTATAGAGAACAACTGTTAACAACTTGTCCATGGATAATGATTATCAATTTTGCCTAAAAACTTTGCCAAGTAATAGGTCAAATATCATTATTTTCCAATAACCAACTTAATTTTTATTTGGAATAAAGAATTAGCATTTCATCTAAAATATTTTCAGGATTCTATCTTACAATCTTGTATTAATACTGTAATAGTTTCAAAAT